AGATTAAATCTATACTGGACCCAACTATGCAACGTCTCCACTATGCCGCGACCCCACTGTGCTGGGTTTTTTTTTTTTTTTTAATATCAATAGAATCAAACTCACGATGATTTATAATTTTATTTTAAGCCCGCATCATTTAAGTTAATTTTTTTATCACAAGCAGAGGTTGTTATGTTCACTAGAAGGAGAATAGGACTAGACAGTCTTGACATCTTACTCTAAATGGACAAAAAATTAGCTTAAAATAGGAAGTAAAATACTTAGGTATTATCTTAGATAGTAAGCTAAAATGGAAATCACATGTTGAGTCAAGAATCAAAAAAGCAATGACCACATTGTGGACTTGCAGCAGAGCCTTGGGAAAGACATGGGGTCTTAAACCAAGAGTTATGTATTGGTTGTACACATATTGTACGGTGCCCTAGTCAGGTGGACCAGAACAGCAATTGTTACAGCCAGGAAAGAACTTAGTCGCATACAGAGAATTGCTGCTATTGCCATCACTGGAGAATTAAGAACTACACCAACGGTCGCATTAGAGGCACTAATCGGATTGCCTCTGCATCTAGAGTTTAAAACTCACGNCTGCATCTAGAGGTGAAAGCTCACGCCAAAGCCACAGCACTAAGATTCCACAACTTAGGTATGTGGACTTTGGAGAGTGACACAACAGAACATGGTAAAATACTAAAAGAGATAGACAAGGGCTTTTTAGAATACCCCTTGGACTATATCAAACCGGTTCTTAAGAATAACATTCCCTACAAAGTGGAGATCACTACACGTATAGAATGGAATATTAACCACCTGACTGAAAAAGGAGGATTTGTGATATATACAGATGGATCCAAAAAATCAGGAAAGGTAGGTGCTGGAATTTGGGGTTTAAATCCACGAATAATTGTCAGTATGTCATAAGCCACAGCTTCCTCCGTTTTCCAAGCAGAGGTTATGGCGATACTGGTAGGGGCTCTGAACTTGTTGGTATACGNTCAGAACCTGCTGGTATACAAAAATAGGAAGATAACTATCTTAAGTGATAGTCAAGCGGCTTTGAAGGCACTCTGTAACGATCAGGTGAATTCAAAGCTGGTCCTCGAATGCAGGGAAACTTTAGAATCACTATCGATGTTCAACAAAGTTACACTAGCGTGGGTACCAGGACACAACGGCNCAGCACTCGTTACAGCCAGGAAAGAACTTAGTCGCATACAGAGAATGGCTGCTATTGCCATCACTGGAGCATTAAGAACTATATCAACGGTCGCATTAAAGGCACTAATCGGATTGCCTCTGCATCTAGAGGTTAAAACTCACGCCAAAGCCACAGCACTAAGATTCCACAACTTAGGTATGTGGACTTTGGAGAGTGACACAACAGGACATAGTAAAACACTATAAGAGATAGACAAGGGCTTTTTGGAATACCCTTGGACTATATNAGGGCTTTTTAGAATACCCCTTGGACTATATCAAACCGGTTCTTAAGAATAACATTCCCTACAAAGTGGAGATCACTACACGTATAGAATGGAATATTAACCACCTGACTGAAAAAGGAGGATTTATGATATATACAGATGGATCCAAAATATTNTTTGTGATATATACAGATGGATCCAAAAAATCAGGAAAGGTAGGTGCTGGAATTTGGGGTTTAAAGCCACGAATAAATGTCAGTATATCATTGGGCACAACACCCTCTGTTTTCCAAGCAGAGGTGATAGCGATACTGGTAGGGGCTCTGAACCNCCCTCTGTTTTCCAAGCAGAGGTGATGGCGATACTGGTAGGGGCTCAGAACCTGCTGGTATACAAAAATAGGAAGATAACTATCTTAAGTGATAGTCAAGCGGCTTTGAAAGCACTCTGTAACGATCAGGTGAATTCAAAGCTGGTCCTCGAATGCAGGGAAACTTTAGAATCACTATCGAGGTTCAACAAAGTTACACTAGCGTGGGTACCAGGACACAACGGTGTCACTGGAAATGAGAATGCTGACTTTCTAGCCAGGAAAGGAGCAGAGAACACCTATGTTGGACCAGAACCAGTGGTAGGGCTCACTGAGCAATCGCTCAAAGCGCTACCCAAGAATTGGTGCAGAGATCTACACAGGAAAATCTGGAAGTACTTGGTAGTACCTAGACAATCTAAAATGTTTATTAAGACCCCTGGTTTATTGCTGGGTGATCTTAATAGCATGACTAGACATCAAATAAGCACCCTGACTGGTCTACTGACAGGACATGGTCACCTGTTTAAGCATCTTAACGCAATGGGGGTATCGGAATCACCATTGTGCAGGAAATGTGGAGTAGAAGAGAAAGACTCATTTCACATCATGTGCGAATGTGAAGCCTTGTCCACGCTAAGATCAAACTACTTGAATAAACCATTTCCTGAAAAAGAGGATATTAAAAATCTAAAACCCAGAGAGATACTTAATTTCGCCAGAAAGACAGGACTCTTTGGTCATCTCTAGAGGTGACTTTATGGTTGGTAATATATTAACACTTCGGTGATAACACTTAGGTGGATAAACCAAATTAAGACAATTCGGTATGAGATACGCACAATGGACCAACAGGTTTGAGAGCATGGGCATTATGTCCACCTCGATAATAACTAAAACTAAAAAAACTACATATGTATTTCTATCTGTTCTAAAGTAATTTTTAGTTCCATTCTTATATCTTATAGGGATCAACTTTATTTATTTAAATGGAAACATACATATTAAACTAGATTATAAAATAAAAAATTAACTAATTAATAAAGACTGGATAAGAGTTCTTTAAATTATATGCACATTTTTGTACTTGAGTAGAAGTATTAATTTAAGAGAAGTTGATTGGTTAATGTAAAAAGAATTACCTTGTACGCTAATGTAACAATAAAATTAATTCATTAAATACTTTAATATTAAATGTTTAATATTTAATATTAATAAATGATTACTTTAAACTACTAAGCAATTATAACTTTGTAATATATTATGAACAATATTTTTTATTTTGCAACTTAATGTAAAAATAAATTAATATTTAAATTACTTGTCTTATTTAGTATATATTTACCCCCAAAAAATGTTGGGTAATTGTTCAACTGTGATTTACACAATATCTTTAAAAATATAATATTTTTTTCCTGGAGTTATATGTATCAATGTTCTACATTTTTTTTATGTTGGTTCTATTCTTTATCTTTTAAACTAGTATCACAATTTATTTTTTAAATAGAAATATATATTTCCAACCAGCTCATAAATAAGAAAATGATTGGTTGATAATAACTTGGAACTAGTATTTTAATAGCAATTTATAAATGTCTAGAAATAATAATAAACAATTCAACTTCATATTCTTAAAATAAAGTATTAATAACTTCCAAAATATTGGTTCAAAAGTTACTAACCAGTCATTTCCTTATTTTTAAGCTAATTTAACATATATGTTACCATTTAAAAACAAAATGTTATAATATTTTATGGAGAAGAAGAGGACCAACATTTTTTTTTGAAAATTATAGAACATATGATTAAATTTTGAAAAGAAAAAAAAAACATTATGTAATATATTTTTAAAGATATTTTTGTAACGTAATTAAACAATGACTAATACAAGATTGATAATAACATTTACTAGAAAAAATGTTGTTATATTGAGAAGATGTTTAAAGCATAGAAAAAAAATTTTAGTCCAAATTATCAGACTTAATAGTAGAATTTAAAAAATAATATATACACATATATATATATTTGTGTACAAATATACAAAACATATTTAAAACACAAAATATCTAACATTTAATCAGTACAAATTTAAAGGAACCTTTTAATTATTCATGCAAAGATTCAACAAGAAATTTCAGTGATTTTTAAAATTATAATCAAATTTTAATGGATAGATTATTTATTCAATTTGTACAATAATTAATCTCGGCATAAAACATTGAATTTTATAAAATGATGAGACTTTCTAACATAGGCACTTGATTAATAAAAACTCATCATGTATAATATATAAATACTTATAAAATTTATTACATGTTATAGCATTATAACACATGTATCACAATTTTGGGCACCTGTTTTCATGCTTATAAAAATGTAGAATGAATATTTTTTAAGTAAAGGCAACACACTTAAACATAATTTCAATAAGACACTAGACTATCAAGTGCTTTATCAGGATCATTATTGCATTTAACAAGAGCACTACATATATTCTCTTCTCGAAATCCAAAATCAATAAGTCTATCGACATTTTTCATAAATGATACAGCATTATCTGGATTAAAATTGTTGGTAACTAATGCTTGTTCTATTCGATCTGCTGGGTAACCACTAGACTCTTCTAAGGAATGTATCTGAATTAAAAACTCTATAACCTAGAACAAAATAATAGTTATTACTCAAATAATTTTTATATTTCATTGATATATATACTTATATAGAACCACAAATCAAACTCATTTATTTCTATTATTTTAGTCAATAAAAATATTAACATGCTATTTAAATTTAATAGGTCTCATTAAATTTGATAAAATATTTATTTTTTTCACACTTTAAAAATAGANATTTTTTTCAAACTTTAAAAATAGAAATTTAACTTTCTAGTCTTAGCAATTTAATTATTAAAAAAATTACACAGATAATTTTTTAATAATAAAATAATTTTCTACTTGCCTTTGATTCATCTTTACCAAACAGTTTGCATGCTCTTGCTGCACGAGATAATGGAAATCCCATTTGGTTCATTTGATCCACAAGCGATTTTGTTGTAGGTGAAAGTGACCTATATGGATTTGGTAGTGATGATGTTAATGAATTAGAGCTATTATTCATAAAATTGGGCGTTTGTGATGTAGCATTCTAAAAACAATTATAACCATATTTGTAAAAGGTTTTCACTAAGTTATTTAAATCGATAATGAACAAAATCTTACTTCTAACTCTTGATTATCTTTTATTGAGTTAAGGTCATCTTGTAGTTCTAAAAGTACATTTGACATACTAACAAAAGGTACACTTAGTGTGTTTTTATTGTTACTCAACATTGTATTAGGAATAGTATGAAATGGTTGAGTTATATGTGTACTAGGATTAACAGATTGATAGACTATATAACTATCATCTATATGTTCATTAAAAGTAGATTTTGTATTATATTGAGAAATTATTGAATTTTTGATCTGAGAACTATCATATTGAGTCGTTGAAGGAATTGATGTAGGTTTTAAAACAGTAGCTAATTCTTCTAAATCATTAATAGTTTTCAATTCCATATTATCAAATGGACTGGATGTATCAGATTCAAAATCTGATATATTAATATTTTTTGAAATTATGGGTTCATTTGAAGACACCTTAGAGTTATTTTGAGCAGGAATTGGCTGTAAAACTTGTATATTTTGGTGTGATGAATCTATCAAAGTCAATTTATGCAAATTAAGTGAATCTAATTTTTTTAACTCTTCAACTTGAACATGGCGTTTAGTTATGGAATCTTCTCGCAATTTACTCCAAATTGACATTTTTTCCAACACTTTTTTTTCCAAACTAAAATTATACTGTAAACAAAATTAATATAATAAATATATTTTATAGATGAAATAAAATAATTTCCAATTTTAAACAATAGTTTTACCTCGTATTTTAATGCTTGAGATGAAGGTTTATGCTGAAGAACACTGGGTAATGCTATCTTTTTAGGAGGTTTATACTTTTCAATAATTTTAACTGGAATACCATCCATGTATGATCCTAAAATATTTTTACAGTAAAATTATAGTACAAGAATAATATTTATAATAAGTTGTTATAATGAAAAAACAAAATATATTATTAATCTGGCTACATACCATTTTTATCATTGTCTTGACCACCAATTCCACCATAGGACATGTTAAGTACAATGCACATAAAATATATGTACGTTTTGGTACTTCATAAAATATACAAATTTTACAATAACGCACAACCTAATTAAATATATTATAAAAATTATATTTGTATTAGTTATTTATTTATAAAAGCAAATACCATTTAAAACAGTTGTAAATAGTATTAAAAATAGTAACTATTTGTAATATAAATGTAGATGTTTCATAAATATAGTTTGCTAATTAAAATACAGTAAGAATATTAGTTTTCTTGGTTTCCACAATCTGCTATTGTATACATAATAGAATATATTATTAACTATTTTTTTTCTATTTTAGGTATTTTAGGTAAACCTTGTAATGGACTTTAATTTTTATAACAATACTTAATTAGGCACATAGTGATATATATATATAATTTAACTTAAACATTTTTTTTAATTATAACATTTTATTTATATATATAAAATATATAACATATTTTACCAACTTTTCATAATTAATTCGCAACTCTAAAGAGGGTTGTAACTTCCCAATTGAGAAAAACTGGTGTATACAATTGAAATAGACAGGGTGGTATTTAATTTCTATCTTTCATAAAAGTATTTTTTTTTTAACTTTAAATTCAGTACAATATATTTTGCTATAATTTTTAAGATTATGAAATATACTAAATATATGTATAAATATCTTAATAGTATTTAAAATATATTGTAGAGCAAGTTAATAATTTATTTATTATATAATGCTATTTTAAGCTTATATAAATGTTATTAAACCATTAATTTTAGAACATGTTGTATAGGATAGTAGTTCATGATATATAAATACTATTAAATTACCATTCAAGGTATTAAAATCATAAATTAGATCATTTTTATCTCCAATTTTCAGAATTTACAATGTCGTATATTAAGCAAGATATTAGAAAACTAAGTTTATAAAAGAACTTAACTAAAAAAATGTCAAGTTAGTTTTTTTTAATAAGAATCGAGAATTTTTACTTAATTATAAATTTAAAGATTATTTACAAAAATATACTTACTATTATTACACTACTTCAATTTAATTTAACATAAGAAATATTTAATTACCATTGGATTATTATTATAATTCTAAGTTCTAAAATCACACAAAAATATTGATTTCTTAAATCTTAACAAATGGTAGACAATAAATTCTGAGAAGTATAAGAAAATTTCTACAAACAAAACAATTAATACTTGAAAATTCATTATCTTTAATCTATTCTTCATCGAGTGATAAGAATTACTACTAAGTGAATCCGTAAAATGATAAGAGCTAGGAATACATCATTTTAAGAATCACTACTTTTTGTTCCATAAATAACTTATTCCAATAAGCATTTGTTCCGAAGCTGTTATCGAAAATTATTATACTAATTAACAATTTATTCACTAATTACAGGGACGCAAACTCATGTAAACATATCATATATCATGTATGAGTTAAAAATTATAATTTTTTTAATTATTTTTTTGTTTTGTTTTAAACTACTTTTGAACCACTATTTCTGGAGTTATGATCATTTTTGTATTTGAGTTGGAGGCAGAATGTGATAGGAAAAATGCGTGATATTATACATGTATTATTATTATGCATACATATAGTGGTGGGAATTTTCGTTCCTTTAATGGAATCGTTCCTTTCGGTACAGTTACTGAAAAGTAAGCGATTCTAAAGTATTCAGTACACCGGTACTTTTACTCTTTTGTAATTGAGTACCTTAATTGCGACCCGTTACCAAAACCAAACCAGTATTTATTGATCATATAAACAGTTGTATCTACGCGGGACGTTAGTAGGCACAGTACCAATAATTAATCAATAAATACTTCTGTCATTTACTTATCAGGTAATATTTAAAAGGCGCGAATGCTTTTAGATGCGAAAATGTTTAGATAAGAATTTTTTTTTAGCTGTAATAATACAGAAATATTGATAGGCTTAATGAACTTTAATGAAAAAAATAGATATTTTACCCCAGAATAAATAAATAATCGTACTTTTTAGACATGTACCGTATTTTGGACAGGTCTAATATAATATATATAATATAATCAATTATTAAAGTATAAAACTATCATATTATTAACCAATATGTTAAATAAGATACTGTTTTTTTTAATTATATAAGTATGTTACAAAATTAAAAATATCTTCAAAACAATATTTATTTTAAAAAAAGGGTAGCACAGTGGGGTCGTGGCATAGTGGAGACATAGCATAGTAGGGTCCAGTATAGATTTAATCTGACAGTGATTAAAATCACTATCATAAGAAACGCTTCGATGCAAATCTGTAGATAGTGTTTAATTTTAAAAAATTGATGGATAATTGCAAAAGCAACATCAACTTCTATTAAAATAAAATACAAAACCCATAATTATCATACAAAAATAGTATATTTTTCAATATGGTAGCCATTTGCG